TAAATTTGTTTCCCTATAATGTATTTTTTTTTCTCTTGTCCATTAGAGCTAAAAAGCTCAGTCTGTCTGATCAGGAAAGTGGATTGTCTTTGTTAAAATGGAGGGAAAATGTGTGGCTAGTATTCAACCCCCAACGTAGAGCTTCAGTGAATAGAGATGTTCAGACTTCCTGTCCGACCCTAAGAAAGTCTCCCACAGCATAATGCTGCTGTGACCATGTTTCATGGATGGATTCTAGATGATCTGCCTCTGGGTCAGAAATGGACCTGCTGGTTTCATCTGAAGGAAGCATTTTCCTGCATGTCTGTTTATGTTGTGAAGCTGGTTTTATTCTGAAGTGTCTGAGTCAATTAGCTGCCTACAAAGCAAGCCTCACTTTTCAGGATTTCAACTTGAAAAAGCTTCCAGCTCTGTGATGGTGCAACACATCTGATGAAATGCTCTGAGGCTGTTACTGTGGGAAGGATCAGGGCAAATGAAAGCTTTGAGTGGCTCTGAAATCACCATGAGAGGCTCTTTATGCTCCACAGAGCAGCCGGAGAGAGTTGGTCCTCTTCAGAAAAACAACAACTCCCTTTATGCAAAATACATGCAGGTATAGAAACGACTGGTCTGATGTAAACGTTCTTTCTACAATAAGGATCCTTCCAGTTTCCCTTCCACTAGGAAATGTTCGGCTCGTTCCTTCCTGTTGTTCAGAGAGAAGAGCCATAGATTTTCTTCCAAATAAACACAGGCCAGCATCCGGCTGACGGCAGATGTGATAAAGAGGTGGAACACGAAGCTAACGCCGTTAGCGTGCGCTACAGGCAGGCAGGGAAACTTCACTATCATTAGATGCAAATGAGTGAAAGAACTCCGTATCAGTTCATCGCTGCAGCTTCATGACGCAGAAAATATCTGCAGCAACCAGGCAGCACTGTGTGTGTGTTTGGAACAGGGTCTCCATGGCAACAAACAATCCATGCTGGTCTGAAAGTGTGGAGGAGGCATCAGGGGGGGTCTGAGAGGCGCTTCTATGCATCCGTACGGCCGCTGTGTGATACTCTTCTCTCTCTGTGTTTGATGACAGGATGTACAGACGGACCTCCAACATGGCGGGTCTCACCTACCCCCCCACAGCTCTCACCGCTCTGAAGGTACCCCCCCCCACCCCCACACACAGAACAGAGCATTTTATTGAACTGATCATGTGTTCAGGTGGAGAAAGGGGAAAAAGTTTCAGTTAAAGTTAGATTTGGTTTCAGAGAAGATCAGCAGTGACCAGCGCCTCCATCCATCATCTGTGGGTTAGAGGAGCTGCCAGGAGCTGCAGGGAGTCTCTGGAGGAGCAGCAGAGGTCCTCAGCTCAGCTGGAACTAACTGTCCACAGAAATCAAGATAGGGATGCAAATAATGAAAATAATGAATCCACCTCGAAAACAACACCCCCACTGTGAAACACGGTGGTGGCAGCATTATGGGGATCAAGGCGTATCCATTAATCAGAATGGCCTAGTCAAAGTTCAGACATAGGATCAGCTGTCAGTCTGTTTTAGATTTACTGTAAACAGACGTTCCTCATCAAGTCTGTTTAAACATTTATGCAAAAAGAACCAAACATTTCTGAGTGAGCAAAGCTGCCAAAGGTTCCCAGAACACCTGCAGGGAAACCCAGAGAGAGGCGTTGGGTTCGGCTCATTAACCTGTGGAGAACCGAATACAAGGAACCAGGAGGCTGGAACCAGGAGGCTGGAACCAGGAACCAGGAGGCTGGAAGTTGGAACCGGAGGGTTTGCTGTGGAAACGATGTTGGAATTTACAGCAGAAACAGTTTTCTTCCTCTTCATAGTCATGGAGCACCGGCTGACTGTCTGATGAAGATATTAGATTGATTGTGAGAGAAAGAAGAGAAGATCAGCTGAGGTGGGAACCTCTGCCTGACACAGCTGGAGGACGATGTCTAAAGACTGACGGAAAATCAGAAAAAGAACTGAAGAAAAGTTCTAACTTGGTGGAGCGGCGGTCTACTGGTTAGGGCTTTGAATCCTGAGGTTGTGAGTTCAATCCCCCACTCCCACAGACTGTCACTCTGGGTCCCTGAGCAAGACCCTTAACCCCACACTGCTCCCCAGGCGCCGCACAATGGCAGCCCATTGCTCCCGAAGGGGAGGGGTTAAATACAGAGAGGGAATTTCCCTCTGGGATTATTAGAGTATATATAAATAAAGATTTCCATGTCTGAGCATCAGCAGGGTCTAAACGTAGAACTAGAACAGGAGGAATTAATGTAAAAGCTGCAGTGATGAGAGGAGCAGGTGATGCAGACGTAGAAGTTCGTCTCCTGATTAATGTTCCTTCTTCAGGGCTTCCTGTGCAAACTTCAAAAATTCAATTAAGTTCTTTAATTGCTGAGCTTTGTTATTCTGGAGACCTGAAGTCACGAAGCGACCGACTGCAAAGATAATGGAGAGTTAATGACTGATTACATTTATTCATTGCTTTTGCTCATCAGATGAAGAAATATAATGAAATTACTGCCCCCTGGTGCCAAAAGGAGTCATTACAGAATGATGATTTCTGTTTTTTTTGATGATTTCATCTCTGATCTTATTTCCAGGAGGTGGATCAATGGTCCTTTGATGTTTTTGCCTTCCATGAGGCCACTGGAGAACACGCCCTCAAGTTCCTGGTCTACGACCTGCTGACCCGCTATGACCTCATCAACAGGTTCAGGGTACACGCAGTCTGATTCTGTTATCTTTGCTCTTCCTGTTAAAAACATAAATAAAACCTGTTTGCTGATCCAAAGGTCTAGATTCTGCAGTAGATCTATAGGTGCAGAGCCAGAGGTGTGCGGCCCGTTTGATGGTACCGGTTCTAGCCCGAGTTCTGTGCTCAGATCCCTGTGCAGGCTCTGGTGCAGTTTGTTGAAGCTCTGGAGAACGGCTACAGCAAACACAGGAACCCTTACCACAACCTGATCCACGCCGCTGATGTCACCCAGACCGCCCACTTCCTGATGCTGCACACCGGACTCATGGTAACACACAGCAGCGGTCCTCATAAGGTTAGGAGAACCAGCTGACCCACCGTTGATATTAACGCTCTGCCATGACTCTGTGTGCAGCACTGGCTCAGCGAGCTGGAGATCCTGGCCATGGTCTTTGCTGCAGCCATCCATGACTTTGAACACACTGGAACCACCAACAACTTCCACATCCACACCAGGTAACAGAGCGCCCCCTGCTGGCCCACAGACGTACCTCCATAGGTGGTAAAGACCTCTGGCTGAAAACGGAGGAGACCAGAAGTTCATTAAACATCAGCCTTAACAGGAGGAAGTCAAAGCTTTCTTCCATCCTCAGGTCTGAGGTGGCCATTCTCTACAACGACAGGTCGGTGCTGGAGAACCATCACGTCAGCGCCGCCTACAAACTGATGGCCGAGGAGGACATGAACATCCTGATCAACCTGAACAAGGAGGACTGGAGGTTGGTGCTCATCGCCTTCATCCTCACCATCAAACATGCTGCTTCCAGTCAGGGCTGGATCTGGGTTCTAACTAGACGACCCAGCTGGTTCTGATGATGTTCTACAGCTAAAGGTTCCCATCTAGAGCAGCAGCAGGTTTTGGACACAGTGTCCCTAACGGGAGTCAGTCTGCGCTGCAGAGTGGGCGGTCCATCTACTGCAGCCCTGATCAGACTTTTCCTCTTCTTCTCCAGCTCTGACGTCATGACTGAAGGTCTGACGCAGGGCTCTATCATCTGCCCGCTGTTGATGGATGATTGATGGATGATTCTGATCAGTTATCCAGCATCTCGCCATGGCAACACGGAGGAATCTTTGTGTTTGACCCACTTAATGCTTAAAGCTGCTTTCTAGAATCCTTCCCAGATGCATCCGACTGATAAGTTGGAGCGTGAGCTCTGAAAACGAAGGGAGCCTGAATGCTCCAAACAGCAGCTGATCCCTGTAGATCCAGGCTGCGTTCTGGTCATAGACTCCATGTTTGGTTGCTGGTTCCTGTTTATCACCTTCTTTGACTCATAAAGATCAGAGAAGATCCCAGTAGAGGAGCTCCCTTCCACAGTCGCTGTTTGAGACCACGGAGCGTTCGTAGAGCGACTGTCAGAACCGCTGAGCTGGGCTCCTCAGAGACGCGCTGGTCTTTAAGGATTCTGTGTCTGATGTTCTGCAGGGAGCTGAGGGCTCTGGTGATCGAGATGGTGATGTCCACCGACATGTCCTGCCACTTTCAGCAGATCAAGACCATGAGGAACGCCCTGACGCAGACAAACGGGTCAGTACCGCATGGCGCCGTGTCCAAGCTGACATCTTTATCTGTGACATCATCACCAAAGATGATCCACAACTACATCTCCCCAGATGGGGGCTTCCTTA